TCATAGGTCATGTTCTCTAGACCTTTATTCATTCTTGTTGCTCTTCTCTGGACCCTCTCCAATTTCTCCACATCTTTCTTGAAATGTGGTGCCCAGAACTGGATACAATACTACAACTGAGGCCTAACCAGCGCAGAATAGAGCGGAAGAATGATTTCTCGTGTCTTGCTCATGACACACCTGTTAATGCATCCCAGAATCATGTTTGCTTTTTTTGCAATAGCATCATACTGCTGACTCATATTCAGCTTGTGGTCCACTATAACCCCTAGATCCCTTTCTGCTGTACTCCTTCCTAGACAGTCGCTTCCCATTCTGTAGGTGTGAAACTGATTGTTCCTTCCTAAGTGGAGCACTTTGCATTTGTCTTTATTAAACTTCATCCTGTTTACCTCAGACCATTTCTCCAATTTGTCCAGATCATTTTGAATTATGGCCCTATCCTCCAAAGCAATCACAACCCCTCCCAGCTTGGTATCATCTGCCAACTTAATAAGCATATTTTCTATGCCAATATCTAAATTGTTAATGAAGATATTGAACAGAGCCGGTCCCAAATCATAGTTAATTTATATTTGTCATGGTTACATTTTTAAATACAAGAAATCACGCAACTATACTGAAGTAAAGTATTCGCGAGAGAACTACCTGCATACTCTCGTACAAGCAACTGGTTTGACAGCTGAAGCTTCGACTTTGTCTGACATGGCGCTAGTATATTTGTATTCAGTGACCATGTGATCCACGCTCCCTGAGACTGAGTACAGAGATTTAGGGTGGTATATAACAGGCGATCGCACCACTGACTGACTACGAGCGCAGCACTGAGTAGTGACATCATTGTCTCCACTCTCTTGCTAAGCTGGCATTACACAGGGACACTTATCATGGCAAACACAAATGAAAATTGTTTTCAATAAAATTCATGAATGCTTACCGATTAATTATTATTTTTTAAATAATAAAATGTTATTATAATGGAATTTTCTCACTGAACCTTTATTTTCACTTTGTGGAACCCCGGGGTTCTGCAGAACACCATTTGGGAAACTGTCTTAGCCATTACACAATGGGCCACAACTCAAAGTCATAAAAATATTTCCATCCCTTACAAAAAGAGATAGAGCTAAACCAGATACCAATGGCTCAAACACTCACTGAGGAGATAAACACTGTCTTAGGTTTCAGCTTGGATTGTGTGCTGTATATTTATTACTCACACTCCATTCCTCTGTGCTGAAATAAAGGATGAACAAACACAAGATACTCTCTCTTCATTGATCCACAGAGGAAATGCAGTGTTGTAGCTCTCTCGGTCCCAACCTATCAGAGAAATACTGGATTTATGGCTCATTACAATAATCAACTAACCACTTACAGTTCCCCTCTCAGCTAGTTTTTCTTTTTACTCGCTCCCCCCATGGGCATGTCTATATTACAAAGATAAGTCAGTTTAAAATTGCTGCAGAGATTCATGTCCATGCACTCCTTCTGTCGGTGACATGCATATCACGAGGAGCAGTTGCACTGATTGAAGGGGGCAGTGTGAGGGCCTGAAAGCCTGGGCTTCTCAGCTTGGTGCCAAGGTCCCAGATAGAGCCAGGCTACCAGTTGGGCCCTCAGCTCCCTGCAGAGCTCCCAGCCGGAGCCAGGCTCCCACCTGGGTGCTTAACACCAAATATTGCACAAAGATTGCACTTAGGGGATCTGTGAACCTGGGCGGCAGTCAGGCTCCTGGTGAGATCTGGGCAGCAAGACTAGAATTGTCAGCACTACTGGGGCCTACTGCTGGAACATACACCCCCTAATTTCAAAACAGGGATCCTACCAGCAGTGAAATTGTCAGCAATGCTGACAGCCAACATGTAATGCAAATAATGCAGTGTCTAAGACCCATGTGTGTTGAACTACCTAAGCCTTAAGCCTTTTGTTGAGGTGGATTTACTAGGTCAGCATAGCAGGTGAGTTACAGTGGCAGGAGGAATACTGTGCGCACTTAGGTTGACCTAAGCTGACATACCAATTTAACTCAGTAGTACAGCCATGCCTTATGACTGGAGGGTATTAATGGGCCACTTCACCTTGCATCGTGCCTTGGAACATGTTAACTATGTAAGCCAAACAATCTGTCCACCTTGGGTTTAGCTGTGACACCCTTACGTACTTTTCCTAGACCTGAAGAAGAGCTCTGAAAACTTGAAACTTGTTTCTTTAACTGGTCCAATACAAGACATTACTTCATTGGTTGGAAAGCACTTTGAAGCAGAAGTAAGGTGATGGAGGTAGCTTCTTCAAACATGTACAGAAGTCTTGTTTACAGTACATGTGCCCTTATCTCTGACATCTGACCCTAGACATCAGTATACCCACCTATTTTAGTCTTGCCATTTATTTCAAGCTGTAATCACACAAATCCTATTTTTAACAGGATCCTTAAGTGGATCCATTTTATTTTCAGAACTTCAGAAAAACCTGGGTTGGTTAGAAGTTAAAGGTGGGTATAAGTCCTGAATCTTTCCACTATGGATGTACATAACTTACTTCAAAACCAGAGGGTATAATATGTGCACACCAAGATGCTACTAGATTAAATGAAACAGTCACAAAACAAACATTGCCATTTTTGATAACTATAAATATCCATGGGAGCGTACAGCCATGTTGGGCCCCTTTGTCAGGTAGGAGTCTGCTCCGTGTTCCTGGAATGGACAGGGCCTAGGGCAGTAGAGGCAGGGCAGGGGTCAGTCAGCTCTCAGTGCCACACAGAACTAAGGATTTTAAGGATTAGTTGACTATCCGATAAGCAAATGCTTATTGGATAATCAAGTCGACTGGTCAATTCTCTCCCCTTGCTGCCTCTATCAGATAGAGGCAGCAAAGAGGGGGGGGAGAGAACAGGGGTACTTCAAAGGGGCCATGGCATTTTCATGGAGCCCGGGGACAGCTGGGGAGTCACTGCATTTTGCAGACTCAGCACTTTGTCGGCACAAAGCAGCAGTCTAGAGGGGGATCTGTCGAGAAAGAAAGCCCTTTTTTTGACAGATCCTGTAAACCTCCTTGCAGGAGGCATAAGGGACATGGATATCCAACAATTGCAAAAACTGAATGTGTCTACACCAATGCTCATGAAAAAGCAAACAAAAAGTATCAAACATAATCAGATCAAATTGAGATTTTTTTCCCCACAAAATTTTTCCTGCTCTTTGCCTATGTCAGGTCAACTATGAGCTGGAATGACTATTTTTGACTGGAAAGTCCAGTTCACCTTTCATTTCCTTTCAATGTTTAATTCCTCTGTTAAATTTACCAGCAAAAATGCCTGTTGAAGCATGGCTGGGTTGGGCTTTTTCTGATGTACACACAGCAGCTGAACACTTCCCTTGAAAATGTCATAAAAAGTAGTGAAAATGTAGATAAGAAGGGTCAGTGTTGGCAAAAGTCAGAAAGTACAAAGTGCTTGTGTAAAAGCATGCGAGTGATTGCATGCTTATTTGCAATGAGCATGAAATTGATTGTATGCATGAATATGTGCTCATGCATATACACACACAGAGTGTTTTACATTGCCCTTTGAATGCACAAATAATCACACAGATTGTATACACAAATTATCATCACAAACTTACATCCCTAACTTTTTGAAAATCAGCACATAAATGCAGAAAGAAAACATAGTGACCACTGATTTGTAAAACTAACACCACAACTTTTGGATTAAACTTCACCGCTGAACTAAACATGTACATCTGGAGTTATATTTGCAATGCTGAAGCTGAGAAGGGATTTAGTGGGTATACACTAATTAACCCCAATAGGCATCTTGTGGTTAAATCCCTTTATAAGCTTTGAAAATTTACCACATGCTTACTATTTCTATAGAGAGATAAACTTTTGCATTCTGCTTAATGCTATCTTTCAGCCAAGAGGCTGTCCTCTATTAGAAAGATTATGCTCAAGGCCACTTTAGTCTAATTCTAAGAAACATGATTATGGCCTTTAGGAAGGACTAAATGTATCTGCAATATTTTTATCAACAATTATTTAAAGAATAATGTGCAAGAAAAAAAGCAAAGTAAAGGTTTTATATAAATCGAATAATATATTATTTA